ACCCCCCCACCGGCTGCAGTGGTTTGTGTCCCCTCCAATCCCCACTGCCTCTGTAGGTATTCCTTTAAAGGGGACAGTCAGGGGGACTCTTCTGTTATATGTTATGGTCACCGAAGCAACCATGAGCTTATAGCAGAAGGGTGAAAATCAGCGACGTAAGACATACCCATGTGGCCAACTGGAAACAGTTGTGTTCGTTCCACCATATGACTTACGTCATTGGCAGGGAAAGGGTAATGAAATGCTCCTGTCATTTATGAATGGGCTTGATGGTCTGTGTACACAGCCTGGCATTACTTTTCTAGACCAAAGCTGTGTTAGACTGTCACTATGTATGCACTATTTGTTCATTCCATTTATTTCATTAACACATACTTTTCAACCACTGGCTTGCCACTGACTAGCTGTGTTCTGGCTGATGGACCATTTCAGGGTTTAAATAGGATGTCTGTAAACTTGAAAACCACAGACACATTTCCACTCGTGACACATTTCAAAGAGCCATTCTTATAGCTACTAATACGAGTACACCATTCACCTTAGGTACTGTACACTACTACAGATGTGTCAATGGTCTCAGCATTGGAAACCCTTCCCCGTCATCTGTCTACTCATCACTAACAGAGGATTTAGGACGTGAAATTAATTAGATAACACAGCTTTCACTCGACTTCACCTGGTTAGTCTATTTCCAGAAAAGAACATGCCATGTACACTAAGGGTAAGTTTAGACCACAACTCCTGTGGCCTTTTAATCTAGGCAAACAGCAAGTTTACTACCAAATTATCTAAGATTCAGATCTGACATTGGAAAAGGGTTGATTGTCCTTTATCTATGAACCAGATCGCCATTTCATAAATTTTTGCCAAATGCAGGTAGCAGTGTCACCTGAAAAAATTAATGTATGATACTGCATTTGTGCTCTGCAGTCCAGCTCAGTTACAGTCACCAGGGAGCACCTAGATTGCTGTTCAACATCACTGACATGAATGACATGCCGTACAACATTTTGGTAATGTGTATCTGACTGCATAAGCCCCATGTATTTGAAGTCTTGGTCAGAATACCCCACATTCATTTTAATTTAAAAAGCTGTATAATTGTACAATTTAAAATACACTCCTTTTGCAGTTACTCTTCACCTCTATATGCAAAGCATTGTTTGAGAGGAATACATACATTCAGCTTTGCTAATGCTTTTACAGATATACTGTACTGTGTAAAAGCCAGCAAGAGCAATAAATTAAACTGGATTCACTACTTATCAGACAATTATGTATTGCTCCTTACAAAAACTGAATGTCTAACTTAGGAGAGATGAAAAGGCACCTAACCCAAAAATGTAATGGAATGTAGTTTATCAGCCCTTAGACGTGGTGGTTGCGTTTTCTTTTTTTTTTCAGGCGTTTTCTCCTTTATTTTCACCTAGTAGTCCTGCAAAAACACACTTCCTGTCCTAGAGTGACAACCCTACAGTCCAGGTTATATATACAGAAGGAGGCATGGTTGTCAACAAGGCTGCACTTCAAACATAATACACAATAACCTTCACTCCATACAGCGTACAGACCTTGAGTAAGAGGTTGGTGCATGAAGTGACAACACGGATGGCGCCGTGTCAAATACAGTCCATAATAGAAGTCACCAGCACTTGATGATATGTGCAAGAAGTAAAGCACTTTTTATACAATCATCACATGCGTCAAACAGCCAAGATTTCGGGGCCACGCAGGGTCCCTGCTTCTGGGCGACCCAGTTGGACGATTGTATAAAAAGTGCTTTATTTCTTGCACATATCATCGAGTGCTGGTGACTTCTATTATGGACTGGACTTCAAACATGTCTTCTTCTCTTCAGAACCATTACATAGGAGTGGGAGGATTTAGTAATGTAAAGACCACATTATTTGTGCTTTCAGTTCACAGAAAAGGACAAAGACGATGCATTTCTGTAGGTATTTTCTATACTTGCCGAAAATGTTCTTAGCCAAAAAAAATTTAAACGTATGCAACCACCACATCTGAGGACTGATAAGCTGCAATACATTAAATGTTTGTTCTTGGGTTTAGAAATCCTTTAAACTAAATTCACGGTTCAGATTTTCAGGGAGCTACTCGCTAAGTTTCTGTACGCAATGGCTCATCATATCCATACATCCTAATACGCATATAATAAGGGCATTATGATTTAAATATTTATATATGATTTTTATTAGTATTACTAAATTTCTATTTCAGCTTCTGCTAATGTATTTTACTTAATACGCAAGTATTTTATTGTATTTAACTAAACCCAAAGTTCCTTTTTAAATTAAGCTAGTGCTTATACTCACCATATGCTCTATTTACCCCCAGGAGTGAGGAGTGGAGCAGCAGGCATTTCAGTAAAATTATTGCTCAGGTTCACTTTAAGGGCCCACTTATACTTCCACAAGTTTAACACAGAAATATAGAAGACGGACGGCAGAGAAAAACTTAAACGGTTTGGGCTACACATACCATATCCCAATGGAAGACACACTTGCTGGAATTTTTACATTAAAACACATAGGTGTAATATGTTCCCATCTCAGGTGGCGGAGCACAAGTTACACTGAAGAAGAGAGTAAGGATCCTACCCTACCAACTCTACTATGGCCTGGGTAGGAGGAAGATTCAAGCTTGACTATGATCTTGGACAAGCATGGCATGCTACATGAAAATTAGATGAACATAAATGGCACATACAACGATGGCTGGAAGAATCTGCTATATAATGGGGTAAATGGTGAGGACAAACAGCATGATATGGTAGACAAGCCACTATAAACACCCACTACACATTAGAAGCTGAGCAGCACTTACAGGGACCAGTTTCCAAAACCATTTGGAAGAAGACTTCATAGGGAGCAGCGGGAATTACAGAGAAAGCAAGGCAGGGAAAAAGCAAACAGAGAAAGAATGAATTAGATTTAGCCACATGAAGCAGCCTGGGCTCGGCAAAAACAGCAGGTTCAGGTTTCCCAAAATTAAACGTCAATAGTTTTTAAATTTCTATAATAATGAAAAATACCTTTCTCCGCATTCACACCTGCGCATTTTGTGAACATGCGTCACGTTTGTTGCGCATCCCCATCGAGTTCAACGGGGCCTGAACAGTTGACAAACATGTCAAAAAAGCTTATGAAGCAAATGTTGCCACGTGTTTCACGCTTTTGGCTTCTGCGTTTGTTCGTGTATTCATGCGCACAAATGTGGAAGGAAAATGTGCTTCTTCCTGGCCACGTTTGGGGTGCCATTAAAAATGAATGGCAACGCAAGCATGTTTTGCCTTTTGCACCGTTTCTGTCAACACACCAAAGCAATGGTTTTGTGTGCATTTGAAGCACATTCAAAGAACGCGCAGGTGTGAATGTGGGCTCAAAGTGTAGCTCTAGGGAAAATCTTTTTTGTTTTGGTTAGAGTGGAGAAGGGTCAGTTACCCTCGTCAAGGTTTTATTGCTGTCTGTATCCTCACTGGGGAGATCCAATCCTCTATTTACACCAGTGACCATTGTCACAGAGAAAGAGGGTAAAACAAACAAACATTTTGGAGTTGTACAAAGAACATGAGGGGAATGGGGATATCAGTTCCTAGAACAAGTGTCTAAAAGGGGAATTTCCTCCAACTTCCTGTTGAGTCTTTGGGGCAAGAAGGGAAAGGAAATTTTCCCAATGGTATACAGACAGCAAAAATAACATTGGCAGGGATTTTAACCCTTCCCTACTCTATAAAAAAAAAAAAAAGCTTTGATTATGCATACACTGTAATCACATTCAAATTGAACTTTACTCAAAAACAAATACTTGCATATAATTATTTATTTCATTACCCACTCAAAGATGTAAGCGTTTTTCTTCTTAAAGCGTTAAGCACATCCTGTGAGGTATCGGATAAATGTAGTAACCTTTTGACACCCTGAGCATATATGCTGCTATGAGTGGTGTTACATGCTGGGTGATGTACATGTTCATTAAACCAGTATGAAGTCAGGTAAGAAGATAAACATTACTGGAATTTTCTGACATTTATATAATTCACTGTCATTTATAAAGCAACACAAAGTCCTATATGCCTACATGCCTATAAATAAAATCTTCTCAAGGTGACTCTACACAGGTTTTAGATGCTACAAACATTTCCCATGGTGCTCTAACAAACCCAACCAGCGTTAGCATGCGTTATGTATAGTGGACAAGCCTTTGACACAACAGGCTGCCTGGGAAAGTGTTTTATCACAAATCACTGCTCCCGAGACTGATCTTTATTTACCCTGTAAAACATACATATAAAAAAGGACCATCGATGATCTGTTGGGAGAACGTCCTAACAAACATCAGAAACATCTGAGTGTTCAACACTCATTTACAACATACCTTCTGTGTGGTGTTTGGGTCGAGATCCTGCTGCTCTTTTATTCGTTGCTCTTGCTCCAGAATTCCTTTCAGGTGTCCATTTACCTACAATAAGCAGAAAACATAACACACCCCTGTTACACTAGGTACTATTGTATATTCAGAATGATAATTAATATATCAAAGAGCAATGTGCAAATACATCCACGACAAACAATGAGAGTTCTTTTTTACATTGCACATCTTTACTGCTCACTGAACTGGGAAGGCTCCAATCATCTTGCAGAGAAGAAAGGGTGTAAAGCTGGCCATAAACATATAGTGGGGCTCAATGACAGAAAACGTTTTGCTTCCCCATCTAGGATGGCTCAGCTGACTGACTGCAGTCACTGTTCGGCCAACAATTTTTCACCTGGCTCCTTTTTTCCAAAGTTTGTCAAGCTGGATGGTGCTATGAGAGCCACTCCCAGTGGGAATTTCTGTTAATCGGCTGAAATTCTATCTTAAGCTATAGCTAGCTTAAGATAGATCTGCTTGTTTTTAAATGAGAACCTGCGCAGAACTCGCCATAGCAGAGGAAAGAATTGGGTCTCTCCAAGACCTGCTAATACCCATAACGACTGACTAAATCCTCACTGGTGCTCACTGCCCCCCACTCGGAGCTGCTAATCCGAAACAATGCTTGAAACTGGGGGCGTATTTGAAATTATTGGGCCATCAATGGCATACAATACAGCATGACTTAATCTCATCAGTACAGGTGTCTTACCTTATTAATCCAGTACATGACAGCATCTTCAATGTCATATGGCAAGTCAGCAGTCTGGAAGAAGGGGGAATATTTATGGACACATGCAATGACCTTTTCAATGCTGACCATCTCCACGGTGTACGCCATCATCAAAGTATCAATCATTGCCAGATGGGCACTCTGCAAAAATAAACAATAGAACATGAAGCATTAGCAATGAACCATGAATGTAATAGAACGTAACTCAATATTTAACATTAAAAAATAAATATAAAGATAGAGCTAATATTTTAACAACATTAACAATAAACAGGTTAGATTGGCTTCACAAGAGCAAATAGTCAAACTTCGAAGAGATTTAAATAACAAGTAGACCTTTGCTTTAGGGACCCCCATCCCACACCACCCAGTAAGCAAGCAGAGAGACCCTTGCATTTACTTTATTTATGTGGCCCTTGAGGTCATAAAATCAGCTCTTAAAACATCACTATATTAGTGTGGATGAGAAACAATACTAAACGTCACCTTTTACCAATCGCTGGAGACGACATAAATGCAGAAGGGAAGAGTCCTATTAAAGCAGCTAACATGTCACTTTGCAATTAGATCATTTTTTGGTTTTAATTATTAAATGTCTTCAGAGTTTTCACTAGGCTGAGCTATTGTGAATCTTCATGTGTCTGGACAAGATGATTAAAGTATAATCCCACTAATACTTTTGTTAGGGTTTTAAGTACATGTCAAAGCAGTAAATAGGACAATCTTTCTCTCACCTCCCAGTAATCTGCCTTGTCATCCTGCCACTGCTCTAAAGACAACCGTATATTAAAAAATGTAACTGAATAAGTGGCCTTATTAATGCCACCAGATGTAACATTTAAGTTGCATTAGATAAAACTGGTATTTGTGTGTTTAGAAAGTGCATGCGTGTGTGAGAGGGTTTTTGAGGGCCTGTTCCCACTAGTACAGTGCGTTAATTGCACAGTCCCGTGTGATTAACGCACTGTACCACGCAAAATTGCACCTACTGCGAATTATGGTGTGGGAGGTGTGGTGCATTACCATTTATTTGAATGGCACCCTAAACACACCTCCCACTCACAGTTCCATCGCCCGCACTGGAATGTGTCATACCACAATGCCATGTGTTCCAGTGCGGTGAGACTTAGGTCATGACTTAATGACCAAGGACAAATGTGGGACCTGAGGTTACACAGGTTGAGAACCACTGATTTACAGGATCCCTGTGGGTCGATCAGGAAATGAATTCCAAATCCTTTCCAGCCCAAAGTTATGTATTAAAAGTTTTGACTTTTTTTTAACCTTGATTTAATTGCAAAGCTAAAAAATTAAGTAGCTGTCTGTCCAACACAATCAGAGGCTCAGGCAGAATAGACAAAAGTTAATTATAGTTATTATAGGGTCTCGCTGCACAGAATGGTAATATCATGTCTGAGAGATCCATGCATTTATCAGGAGCTGCAAAAAACACAGACACATAATTACAAATTACCTTGTCTGAAGCGTAGATTTTCCAAAACATGGAAATCTACATACAGATAAAATGTTGTTATGTATGGGGTTGATTTACTAAATGAGTAGAGGCTGTTCATTAAAGAGGGTTAATGTTCATTTTGCATGGTGCATGTTTACAGTTCAGTAAATAAGGTGAAGTTGTATTCACTTTCAATGTCCACTCATGTGGGAAAATAGAAAAAGAAAAAAGTCCTGTTTTTGCTTGCACACAATTAGATGATTGAAGTAGTATTCAACTCAAACTTTAACATGTGCATTTCAATTTTTTATCTCCAGTCTTTGTAAATTAGCAGCTTTCATTAAAAATACCTAGTGATCCAGTCATTAACGTCCTTGCTCAGTCACTTCCTTTTATGGGGTGACAACGGTCGTACTCCTGTATCGTCACCCTGTCAAATGTGCCACTGATGGAGACTAAGGGCCCGTTCACACCGGTGCGATTCATTAATTGTTCGTTGTACTATGCAATTAACACATTGTAGTGCACAACGCACCTATCAAGTTTTAACAATGGGGAGGTGTGTTGCCATTCATTTAAATGACACCCCATATGCACCTTCCGCCCTGCGACGAGATCGATCCGCAATGAAAAACTTACTGCATTGTTATCGCATGGTAGGTGTGCTATGACGTGTTAACTGCAGTTAACTATGTGATTAACGCATCACACCGTTGTGAATGGCTGTGGCCAGCACATCACAAGTATGTTCCCCAGCTGACAGTATCAGGGAAACGATGAAACAACTGGTGCTAGAGCAAGCGCATGTAGACAGGAAGTGACTAAAAGAGGCTGGATGAGATAAGAGAACAAAAAAAAAAAGAAAAAACTGGATGAATACAAGTATTTAAATAAATTGCACTTGCTTCAGCTAAGTAAATGCCATCTAGTTAGGGTCTAGAACGACATTAAAGTTATTTGAAGTGCTGCAGTAATCACATCTATTCTGGTATATTGGATATTCCTATATGACCCCCCTGGGAGCAGGCCTGGATTTATGCTTCAGTTTTCTTTTCAAAACACAACTTCTCCATTGTCTATTCCAGGTATCATCTGTCTAAGGTCACATGAGCATTATAGCGTAAAACTCTGGGCAGAAATAATCGTAACCCGTGAAGTGGGGCTACCCATGCACTGCAGGGGTTAGGTGTTAGTTTTAGTCTAGCGTGTAATTTACAAAAAAAAAAGAAGGTATACTCACCCGAACCTCAGAGCCAGCTGCCTGCTAGACTGGTCCATGCTGCCTCTCTCCTCCACTGTTCCGATAATGTAATGTCCCTCAGGATCTTCGTGTTCAAAACACTGAGTTGGATGTGATGACTCGTGTAGAGTGGAGGGGGAGAGAGGCTGCAGGCTCTGGTCTAGCAGCAAGACAGCTCGGAGGTTCAATTGTGTATAAAACTTTGCTATTTTACACCATAAACTAAAACAAGCATTTAACCCTTGTAGGGCAGGGGTTGCTTTCTATAGTCAGAGGGGAAGCTGCTGGAGCAGCACCTGGAAGGTAATGGCCATCAATGTATGCAATGCTGACTACTACAGTGATTTTCAGCATCCCTGGTGGCCCTCTGAATATTAGATATGGATACTAGCATGGAGCCAAACTGGAACAATGTAAGTGTACACAAAAGATCATTCCTGGAGTTCTGCTTTAAAGTGATATTAAAATCAAGTGTTAAGCTATTTCAAATGTTGATGATATCACTTACAACGGACACTGCTCAGTGACGTTAATAAGTTTTAAATTTCTTGTAGAATTAGCTGGTCCCCTGAACACTGGCCTGTCTTAGGGTGGCTCCTTTCCCTTGCAGGTTCCTATGGAGCCACCCTTGTGTGTACTAGTAAGTAAGGCAAGATATTCTCTCCCCCCTGCTCCCAGCTCCCTTCTCCAAGCTAATAAATGGACAGCTGCTGGAGACTGCTCTCTCCCTTGTGATTGTGTAGTGGACAGGAAGTTCAGGGAAGCCAAGCAGAAAGAAACTTGGAGCCAGCTGTTTTGGAAAAATGATTACTTCGGGGGGAAAAAAATTAAAAAAATACTTTGCTGTACAGTGTATTTGTTTGAACTGGATTCATTATTAGAAAAAAAGGAAGATTGAGAGTTTAATACTATTTTAAATGAAGCTATTAAGCTTAACACAAATGAGGTGTACACTATATTTTATGAAATGAAGTGCTCAAGAGCACTTTCACATAAACAAGATACACTATATTGCCAAAAGTATTGGGACGCCGGCCTTTACACGCACATGAACTTTAATGGCATCCCAGTCTAAGTCCGTAGGGTTCAATATTGAGTTGGCCCACCCTTTGCAGCTATAACAGCTTCAACTCTTCTGGGAAGGCTGTCCACAAGGTTTAGGAGTGTGTCTATGGGAATGTTTCACCATTCTTCCAGAAGTGCATTTGTGAGGTCAGGTACTGATGAGGGATGAGAAGGCCTGGCTTACAGGGGTTGAGGCCAGTCAAGTTCCTCCACCCCAATCTCGCTCATCAATGTCTTTATGGACCTTGCTTTGTGCACTGGTACGCAGTCATGTTGGAACAGGAAGGGTCCATCCCCAAACTGTTCCCACAAAGTTGGGAGCATGAAATTGTCCAAAATGTATTGGTATGCTGATGCATTAAGAGTTCCTTTCACTGGAACTAAGGAGCCAAGCCCAACCCCTGAAAAACAACCCCACACCATAATCCCCCCCTCCACCAAACTTTACACTTGGCACAATGCAGTCAGGCAAGTACCGTTCTCCTGGCCCTGCCAAACCCAGACACGCCCATCGGATTGCCAGACAGAGAAGCATGATTCCTCACTCCAGAGAACACCTCTCTACTTCTCTAGAGTCCAGTGGCGGAGTGCTTTACACCACTGCATCCGACGCATTGCACTTGGTGATGTAAGGCTTGGATGCAGCTGCTCAGCCATTGAAACCCATTCCATGAAGCTCTCTACGCACTGTTGTTGTGCCAATCTGAAGGCCACACGACGTTTGGAGGTCTGTAGCTATTGACTCTGCAGACAGTTGGTGACCTCTGGGCACTGTGGTCTTCAGCATGCGCTGACCCCGCTCTGTCACTTTACGTGGCCTACCACTTCGTGGCTGAGTTGCTGTTCCCAGTTGCTTCCACTTTGTATTTCACGGAACACCTGAATCCAATGATTTGGAGGGTGTCCCAATACCTTTGGTGATATAGTGTATATACAAGATGTTAAAGTAAATCTATTATGAGAAAAATAAAGAAAGACTTACCTGAAAAAAAAAAAAAGTTACTTGGCTGCAATGCTGATCCCCTGGCTTTAGTCCTTCCTGCCACCGGCATAAGGCATACATCAGCAGCAACAGCACATGCTTTTAAACACACTTCTGGCTGCTGCAGCTGAGACTGTGTTCAGCCCAAACAGACTGATGGTCTGCTTTGTGTTGGAAGTGATTCAGGCAGCTCTACAGCCACCCAATCACATACATGGGCTCGAGAAGCTTGATAAACTGTTGCCCAAATAGCATGCCACATACAAAATTACAACTGCCATCATTTTAATGTCAAGGTGGGTTTTAAATAATCTTCAGGCCTAAAATGTGTGTTTTAACATGCATCTGAAAGAGTCACCAAACAAAAGCCAAACTGCAGATCAGGAGTTTCAACTCCA